CTCTCCGCCCTGCGGAGCCCGGGCCCGGTGCCGCCTCTCCCGGCCGCGCCGTGCCGGGCTCGGGGCGGAGCGGGGGGCGCGGGGGCCGAGCCTGCGGGAGGGGCGGGCCGGGGCGGGCGCTGCCGGCGCCGCTCTCCGCGCCATGGCCCCGCCGCCCGCCGCGCTGCCGCCGCTGCTGCCGGTGCTGCCGGTGCTCCCGGCCCTGGCCGCGCTTCTGGCCGCGCTCCCGGCCGCGCCCGCCGCCCGCGCCGCGCCGCGCTCCATCGGTACGCGGGAACGGCTGGGCTGGGCTGGGTATCCGGGAGCTTTTGGTGGGGCCGGCAGCACCGGGCCGCCTTCTCCGCCCTGCCGGGGCCGGCGCTGAGCGTTCCGCAGCCCTCCGCTCCGCTCCGCACGCTGCATCCGCATCCCCGCGCATCCCCGCGCATCCCCGCGCATCCCCGCCGCGGCCGTCGGGGGAGCGGCGCGACCCCCGGGGCGCTGCTGACCCGGCCTCTGGCCGCTCTCTCCCGCAGCCGTGGTGGGCGCCGGGCTGGGGGGCTCGGCCGCCGCCTACTTCCTGCAGCAGCACTTCGGGCCGCAGGTGCAGCTGGACGTGTACGAGGCGGCGGGCGTGGGCGGCCGCCTGGCCACGGTCACCGTCAACAAGCAGCAGTATGAGAGCCGGGGAGCCTCCATCCACGCCCTCAGCCTCCACATGCAGGACTTCGTCAAGATCCTGGGTGAGACTGCGCGTCCCAGCGCTCGCGTGGCCTCCCCTCGCTGAGCTCTGGGGTTTGGGCACCCCCGGGCTCTGTGCTTGGGGTAGTGGGGAGGGTTCCTGCCAGTCGCCCTTGGCACCCCAGGCATGTGGTGACCCCCTTGCTGTCTCTTCTGTTGTGCCCTGGAGAGAGAAGGGGATGGGGTGGTCACATCAGGGGGTCCTGGTGGGATTAGTGTTCGTGGTTGTTCCCAAACTCCTGCCAGTCTGTCCCGGTAGGCAGCAGCAGCTCCATGAGACGCCCCAACATGATGTGGCTGGGAACCCGTGCCTTGGGATCTCATTCCTTCCAAGAGCATCCTTGCCCGTGTCCCTGCTGGGACATGTCCAGTGCTGGCCTTTGCCAGGAGCCAGCCAGCCCCAGGGAGGGGCAGCCACGGGCTCCCTCTGCTCCCGCAGGCCTCAAGCACCGGCGCGAGGTGGCCGGGAAAAGCGCCATCTTCAGCGGGGAGCACTTCGTCCTGGAGGAGACCGACTGGTACCTGCTCAACCTCTTCCGCCTCTGGTGGCACTACGGCATCAGCTTCCTGCGCCTGCAGATGTGGGTGGAGGAGGTGATGGAGAAGTTCATGAGGTAGGAGAGCCCGTGGGGTTGGGGGGGTTTCCTTGGCGCCAGGGCATCACCGGGTGCCCCCTGCTCCCGTCCCCTGCAGGATCTACAAGTACCAGGCACACGGCTACGCCTTCTCCAGCCTGGAGGAGCTGCTGCGCTCGCTGGGCGGGGAGGCCTTCGTGAACATGACCCAGCGCTCGGTGGCCGAGTCCCTGCTGGAGGTGGGCGTCACCCAGCGCTTCGTGGACGATGTCATCGCCGCTGTCCTGCGCTCCAGCTACGGCCAGTCCGTGCTGGTGCCCGCCTTCGCAGGTGAAGCCACCTCCTCGTGCTCTGCGACGCTCCTCAGTGTCCCCTCTGCGGCCCAGGCTCTGGAGCCACCTTCATCTTCCTCTCTGCAGGGGCCATGTCGCTGGCGGGAGCCCAGGGCAGCACCTGGGCGGTGGAAGGAGGGAATAAGCTGGTGTGTTCAGGTCTGCTGAAGCTGACCAAAGCCAATGTCATCTCAGCCAGGGTGACAGGCATCTCCCTGCACAGCTCAGGTGAGCCTGGGCACGGCTGTGGCTCTGCGGGCACCAGGGTGGGAGGTTGGTGGTGGCAGCATGGGAATGCTGTGGCTGGAGGGCATCCTGGTCCTGGTGAGGCATTTGGGAGAGGGCTTGAGGGTCTGTCCTTCTCCCTTGGTCTGATCCAGTGGGGACTCTGCAGCAACCAGCCCTGAGGTTGCCCTCCCTCCCTCCTGAGGTCCATCAGGTTCTCCTGTAGCACCATCCTTGTTGCAGGCTTGCTCCCCTTTTCAGCACAGCAGAAAAATATCTGGGGCCTGGGATGTGGGCTGTGTTTCCCTAGTCCTCTTTGCCCCCACTAGGCTGGGTCTCTCTGGAAACCATTTCGCAGAGTCTTAACGAAACCTTTTCTGCCACCCTAAGGCATTAGAAACTCATCCATAACCATCCACTGCTGTGGTCCAGCACTGGTGTGTGCTGGAAAACCTGGGGATGGAGGTCGGGCTGGAGAAAAGAGGGTCAGGGCAGCACCAGCTGGGCCTTAGGGCTGCTCCTGACTGTCCCCTGTCTCTTCAGAGGGGAGAGCCCTGTACCAGGTCCACTACGAGAGCCCCGAAGGCCAGGGCTCGGCTTTCTACGACCTGGTGGTGGTGACGACTCCGCTGCACCCCAGCAGGAGCAACTTCACCTTCGACAACTTCGACCCCCCCATCGCCGACTTCCCCGCAGCCTTCCAGCCCTCCGTCACCTCCGTGGTGCACGGCTACCTCAACTCCTCCTACTTCGGCTTCCCCGACCCCAAGCTGTTCCCTTTCACCAGCATCCTCACCACCGACACCCCCGACCTCTTCTTCCACGCCATGGACAACATCTGCCCCGTCAACATCTCGGCGGCGTTCCGGCGCAAGCAGCCGCAGGAGGCGGCGGTGTGGCGCGTGCTGTCGCAGCAGCCGCTGGACAAGCCCCAGCTGAAGACCCTCTTCAGGTCCTACTACTCGGTGCAGGTGACGGAGCGGCAGGCGCACCCGCGCTACGACGCCGCCAAGGCCCTGCCGCCCGTCGTGCTCCACGAGAACCTCTTCTACCTCAGCGGCGTGGAGTGGGTGGCCAGCTCCATGGAGATGATCGCCGTGGCGGCCAAAAACGTGGCCCTGCTGGCCTACAACCGCTGGCATCAGGACCTGGAGAAGATCGACCAGAAGGACTTGATGCACAAGGTGAAGACGGAGCTGTGAGCAGCTCGTGAGGGGTGCTGGGCCAGGAGCTTTGGTGTGTGGCAGTCTGGGGAGTATTTATTGCCTTGGGGAGGCCGGGGGGGCTGGGGGACAAGGGACAGGCTGTGTCCCGGTGACTTGAAGGCCTTCAGGAATACAGTTCCTGCCCGGTGTTGTTGTGTCTGTGCTGTGTGCCTCAGTTTCCCTGTTACTTCACCCCAGGCTCTGCTGGAAAGGAGCCTGTGCCTTCTCCTGAAAAAGGGTCACTCTGTTTGGAGGGATCTTGGGGGGCTTTCAGGGGTGAGGCTGGCTGGCACTGGCAGCAGATGGGTCCTCCCAAGCTTCCCAGCTCCCACCAGTCTCTCCTGCCTTCCTGGTTTTGCCCTTGGGAGCCTCACAGGGCTGGAGATCCCACGGCCTCTCCCATGCCCGGAGCCCAGCCCTGCTCCTGTGCCCCAGGGATGCAGGAGGGCTCTCACAGCTCCTGCCAGGTGCTCTGTGCTTCTGGGGGTGGCCAGGCTTGTGTTCGGGGGGCACAAGCGCCCCAGTGGGAGAAGCTGGGCAGGACAGAGGGGCAGCCTGAGGGGCCAAGGCAGGGGCAGCTCAGACCAGGGCCAGCAATGCGCTTTATTGAGACCTCAGAAGCTGCCCAAGCCACCAGCAGCTCGCCCCACTCCTTGGACTGCCCAGCCAGGCACTGAGGAACTTGTGGGAGGGCTGGGAAGGACTGGGAGGGCTGGGAAGGGACTGGGAGGGCTGGGAAGGACTGGGAGGGCTGGGCATTGCCAGAGCTGTTGCAGCGATGGAGCAAACAAAGAAGGGAAGTGGGGACTTTGGAAAGGGAGGAGGCCTGATCCTGATCCTGATCCTGATCCTGATCCTGACCCTGATCCTGACCCTGATCCTGATCCTGACCCTGATCCTGATCCTGATCCTGATCCTGATCCTGACCCTGACCCTGACCCTGACCCTGATCCTGATCCTGACCCTGATCCTGATCCTGATCCTGATCCTGATCCTGATCCTGACCTTGACCCTGATCCTAATCCTGACCTTGATCCTGACCCTGATCCTGACCCTGACCCTGACCCTGACCCTGACCCTGATCCCGACCCTGACCCTGGTTCTGGTCCTGGTCCTGGTCCTGACCCTGACCCTGACCCTGACCCTGACCCTGGTCCTGCCCAGCAGAGGGACCCCGGGCAGGACCATCTGTCTCCCTCTGTCCCCCAGCCCAGAGCTGAGCTCCCCGTGGAGCTTGGGGCAGTTGGTGGCTCCCAGGGCTGCCTCTGCACTGGGTGTCCCCTGAGCGGCTGCTGGGGCTGAGGCTGACAGAGTCTGCAGGGAAATTCTGAGCAGCCCTTGCACGGGGACCTCCCCTCACCCTGGTGCCCAGCCAAGGTGGCCTCTCCCAAAGGGCTGGGCAAGCTGGGGAAGCAGGAGCAAGCTGGTGAGATGCCCAGCACTGGGGGAGCTGCAGGGAGGGGCTTTGCGGCCTCAGAAGATGCAGGTGCAGCCCACAGCGATGGTCTCCATCACCATCTGGTACTTCTTGGGGCACTTCTCGTTGCCCGAGGGCCGGCGGGCCGGGCAGAGGCGGCGGCGCACGGGCAGGCGGCTGTAGATGGGAACGCTGGCCATGCTGCGGTCCTCCTGCATGGTGAAGGGGTTGATGCAGCCAGTGCACAGGCAGCGGGCCTCGGGGATGTCTGCCGGGATCCGTGCGGCGTCGTGGTTTATCCTGGAGGAGAGGGAAGGCAGGACAAGGCTGCAGAGACGGTGGTGGGGGCAGCGGGTGGGTGAAATAGCACCGCAGCCCCCAGCAGGCAGCAGAGCCCCTGTGCTGGCACACAGGGACCGTGCCCGTCCCCGAGGGCCCTGCCCTGGGCTCACCTGTAGGCCCAGGGGGACAGGCTCCTCCGGTTGGACCTCCAGAGCCTCAGGTTCACCTGGCACTTGGTGTCCCCCGGCTTGGAGCCGTTCCTCAGCTGGCGCACCATGTCCTGGATGCTGTGCTCGTACTCTGCCATGCTGCTGTAGGGGTCCTCGGGCACCCAGGCCAGGGCAGGGGGGGCTGTTGGTGGCCGTGCCAGGCCCCTTCTCCTGCCCTTGGCTGCCTTGCTCTGGTCCTTGGCTTCGGGCACCAGGACCATGGCGAAGGTGAAGATGCAGAGGAGAAGCTGAGGAAGAAGAGGATGTCTGCTTGGGCTGCAGGACTGGCACGGAAGGGGAGCTGTCCCTCCTGCCAGGGCTCGCCAGGTGATGGCAGGACCACGCTGACCTTGAGGTGGCACATTCAGTGCCCAAAGGCAGTGCTGCCAGCAGGTGAGAAACACCTGAGGGCACTTTGCAGGGATGGTGGGCACACGGTCATGATGAGCTGGTGTGTGTGTGGCCGCCCCTCACCCTGCTTGCAGCTGGCAAATTGTGTTGCCCAAAGCGCCCCTGCCTGTGCTGCCCTGTGTGCCCTCCCTGCCCACCCTAGGCAGCTGCGTGCTGGGAGGGACCAGCTCAGGCTGTACCTGGGCAGCCTCTGGTTTAAAAGGAGCCTTACAGAGATGGGACAGTCAAGAATGAGATCTTTATCCAAACCCTCCTCTCCCTCCCTCTGTGCTCTGAGGACGGTGAGAGAGAAAAGATGCTTTTTTCCTTCCCTTCTCCCTCCGGCCTCGCGGGGCCGAGCAGCCGTGTGCTGGCACCCGGCAGGCTGCCCAGCAGGGAACAAAGTTGCTTTCTGTAGTCCTGCTCGCTGCTATTCGTGTCCCTGCAGTGGCCCGGGCTGCCCCACACCCTGCCCGTGGCTGGGCAGTGCCGGGCAGGGAGGCTCAGCCAGTGCCAGACTGCCCGGCCGGGCTGGCACGGCTCTGCCCTCCCAACCTCTGCATCCTCACCCTGCTGGGCATGGGGGCCATGGCCCTGGCAGGCCACGGCGGGCACCTCCAAAGCAAACAACCCCAGGTAAACAAGCATGCAAATCATTCTGGTAGAGAAGGAAAACGAGGAGCAAGCCCTGAGCTGCCGGGGAGGCACCTACCAGGTTTGGAGCCCGCTCCATGGCCGCCCGCTTGTCCTGCAGTGTGGCCGGTCCCTGCGAGCCGGGCAGCTAAAAAGGGAAAGCCCCAGCCCCCAGCTGTGCCCTGCCAGAGGTGTGGCCGGTCCCCAAGGTGCCAGGGAGCCTCGGAGCAGACAGGGCAGGTGGCCAGCGTGGTCTGGGACTCGGCCACCCGTCACCGCCCCGGGTGCTGGCTCTGCTGGCTCTGCTGGCTGTGGCCACCATGGTCAGTGGTGGGTCCCCTCTGGCCCAGGCAGCCCTGAGGGGCTCTCCTGGCAATAACGTGCTCTGGGGAGGGGGTTTGGGCTCTCTTGGTGTCACCAGCATGGTCACAGCCCTGACAGGGCTGGCAGGACACGGCTGCTGGGCTGGTGGAGCAGGGGCTCGCAGGAGGAGCAGGGTGGCTGTGTCCCGAGCTGGCAGCAAGGTGAGCAGGTACCGTGGGGCTCAGGGTCTTCTGTCATCTCTGAGCCACCAGCAGCAGCAGCTCTGCTGTCCCCAGGAGCCCCCAGACCTTTCTGCTCAGCAGTGAGATGATGGCAGCCATCACTTCCTGCACTCCCGGTCTGTGTGTGCCCAAACCCTTCCCCTTCTGCTGTCCTCCAGCTCCTGCCATGGGGACGCAGCAGCTGTGCCCACAGCTGGCCGTGGCTCTGCAGGGTGCTGGGTGTGCTGGGCGATGCCCTGGATTTCCGGGGTCAGGCACCGCGGTGCAGCGTGCTGCGGTGGGGGAAACTGAGGCACGGGGGTGCTGGCTGTAATTCCCCGTCCAGGGGACAAGGGCTGGCATTGCACCCCTGCTCTGCCTCTGTCCGTGCGGTCAAGTGCCACGCGATGGTGCTGTCCGCCACCCAACCGCTCCCAATCCTTCCCGTCTGCATCCCTCCTCCTTCCATCCCTTCCCGCATCCCTCCTCCTTCCATCCCTCCCTGCATTCCTCCGCCCCTCCATCCCTCCCTGCATCCCTCCTCCTTCCATCCCTCCCTGCATTCCTCCGCCCCTCCATCCCTCCCTGCATCCCTCCTCCTTCCATCCCTCCCTGCATCCCTCCTCCCCTCCATCCCTCCCTGAATCCCTCCGTGCATCCCTCCCTCCATCCCTCTCTCCATCCCTCCCTGCATCCCTCTCTCCTCCCTCCAGCCCCACCGCGGGCGATGCCCGCCGCTGTTCCGCACGCTCCGGGCAGCCGGCTCTGCCCTCCTCCGTTGGATGCTTCCCTCCTCCTCCTCCTCCTCCCGCCTCACTCTGCACCCCCAGTGACCTGAGGCCCTTGAGCTTCGCAGGGCAGAGGGAAATTTCCGCCTCCTTTTCCCAGTCCATCAACTGTGCCTCTAGAAAACCCCGTAAATAGGGTCAAGGTCTCTGCACCCCCAGCTCCCGCTGTCCCCATCCTGCTGCCTGCCCTGGGCCCCAGCCCACGTCCCCATGCCCAGGGACAGCCCCGCAGGCTTCAGAGCTTCGCTGTCCCCTCGGCTGGGATCTGGGCAGAGTGTCCCGTTTGTCCCTGCAGGACCTGCCCGAGGAGCCCTGCACCTCCTGCCCGTGCTTCAGGTGTACGGCAGCACCCGGCCTCTGGCCACCAGCATTTTTTGGGGTGCTGAGCCAACCTGTGCCTGCTTTTCACCCGTGTCGTGGCAGCCCGGCAGGGCCGGTGGAGCCGCGGGCGCTGCGTTGTGTCAGCGCTCGGCAATGCTGTTTACACATGAGAGAGGAGCGGAGGCATCTGTGCCGGCAGCCAATTACCCAGTTTTGATCTTTTTTGGTGAAAAGGAAACCAGGCCTTTTCAGACATGGCCAAATTTGATAAGCTGGAGGAGTTGGGGGCGGGCGTGGGAGGCTTTTCCCCAGCGGGCTCGCCCCAGGGAAGGGGCTGGCATGGGGAGGTTGGGTCAGCTCTGCCTCCAGGAGGGCTGGGGGGCTCCGGTGCCCATCCTGGCTGCAGTGCCATCCCTGGGAGCAGGGTGTGCTGAGGTTGGAGTGCTGGAACCACCCCCAGGGCTCTCCTGGGCAGGGGTTACCTGGAGGGGAGAGGTCGCTCAGGTTTTTTATGTGCTCATTTCTGCTGCTGTCACCGCTTTGCCACACTGCCATGGGAAATCTGGGTGGAGAGCGAGGCCTGGAGATGGGGAGCAGAGATCCAAATGGGGCAGGAGAGGCTGTGAAGATAAGCTCCACCTGCCCTGAGTAAACCCAGGTGTTTATTTGCCTTGTGGAACCCACCCCAGCCCAAGAGATGCAGGGCATCCGTGTCGTGCCACACTCACGCTTGGCAGCAGGGATGTGCTGGGCAGGGATCAAGGGGCAGAGCCCACGGGTACTGCAGGTAAGGGAATGGGGGGAAGTCAGGCTACAGCTCCACGCTGGCAGAAAATAGCTTTGTGCAGTTTCCCACGAGCAGAAATGTCCCTGTAGGGGTGGGAGCTGCTGGGGTGGGGGCTCAGGTCCCCTCCATCTGTGCTGGGCAATGGGCAGCCACACTGCTGATGCCACTCTGAGGGCATGGCCATTCTCCGGGCACCAGGCTGCCCCTGAACGCTGCTCCTGCTGGGCTTTGTGAGGCACACCTGAGCACACCCCAGCCAGACAGGCGGGTCTGGCAGGAGGCTCCAGCACGGCCTCATCCCTATCTCTGGGTGAGCAACATTTTCCACTCATCAAAGGAAAGCTCCAGCCAGCTGTCCTGGCCAGAGGCAGCTCCGTGAGGTGGGAGGAGGATCAGGCCTCCGTGTCCCCCCAAAACCCCCCTGGCAGGTAGTGCTGGCCCAGCCAGAGCACGGAGCTCACATCCTTATTTGCACAACGGCTCCAGAGCTGCCCGAGCCAAAAAGGCTTATTTTAAGCTTGCTGGAAAAAGAACATTGTTTGGTGGGAATTAAAACGCCCCATTCTCAAAAAAGGGCAAAACAAAAAGTGCTTCATTCTGCCGGCTCCTGCCATTGCATAAACACAGAGACAGGCACGGCTGGACAGGCCGGCCAGGAATTTGTTGCTGGCACCGCTGGGATGGGTGCTCTTCCCCCAGCAGCTCCTGTGGGACAAGGACCCGTCCTTTTCTGTGCCCCCACTGTCCCAAAAGCCCTGATCCTGGCAGGAGGGGTTTTCTGAGGGAGGGAAGGGGCATTGCCCCACTCTGGGCAGGAGGGGTGACCACGCTGGCAGCCCGAGGTCTCTGCGCAATAATCACTGCACAATATTATTTATACAGCCCTAATCCAGCTCCCCTTCTCCCTCCCCGGGCGGGGAGTGGGGCGATGCTCGGGGCTGGCTGTAAATCGCACCCTTTGGATGCCGTGAGAGCCAGATTTGGGCGTCGGGAGGCAGAGCTGAGCCGGGCTCTCCTCTGGGGCTGGGGGGACAGCAGCACCCCGGGCAGGAGGCTCGGGGGACCGGAGGCCAGCGGGGCAGATGCGCATCCATCACCCGGCCGGCGTTTACAGCAACGTCGCTGCTTACACGATCCAGACGCGCTGGTTCCTCCCGTCCCTCTCCTCTCGTGCCTTTTGTTTTCTTTAGGAGACAGAGCACCTGATGGAAAAATCCTGTTCTGCCGCTCCCCGCGCTGGGAACAGCCGCTTCCTTCCGTCCCTGGCCCTGCCCGCTCCCTCTGGCAGCCTCAGGTCCCCGCAGCACAGGGGGACAGAAGCGCGGTCCCCTCCAGGCTGGGAGGGTGCAGGGCCACTGAGGCACTGGCTGCCCATGGGTCCTCTCATCCTGCCTGGCCCCATGCCATCCGTGCCCCCTGCGCCTGTCCTCTGATCTCCTCCAGCCCTTTGGGCTCCTGGCCTCAGCCTGTCCTGCCTGTGCCCCACCAGCAAACAATTCCAAATAATTCCAAATAATTCCAAATAATTCCAAATAATTCCAAATAGTTCCAAATAATTCCAAATAGTTCGGTTTTCCTTCCCCCCGCAGCCGAAGGCAGTCAGACACCAACCCCTGAGTGTTGTAAATGCAGGTGAACTCAACGGGAAGGAATGACGATGTCTGACTCAATTCAGAAGGTTGAATGATTTCTTTATTATAACTATGTTAAAATATGTTAATATGCGATATAAAAAGGAAGATACTGAAATTACATACTACTTTTTTAACTCTAATACAACTCATGACTCTTTCTTGAGAGTCCAGCCATAGCTGGGTTGGATTGGCCATCAGGCTCAAACAATCCTCACCAGAATCTAATTAATCACTCACTCTAGGTAAACCATTTTCTAAACACATTCTACATAGCAAAAACAAGGAGTAGAAATAGAAATTGTTTTCTCTTTTATTTCTCTCTGTGTACTTCTATGAAAAATCTTGAGAGGGAGAGAAATGTGCTTGCCACACCTGAGTGCTTTGGAGGGGTGGCTTCATTTTGTGCTGGATTTGCAAAGGTGGGACCTGCCAGTCCTGCCAGGGTGGCCTGGCTGTGGCAAGGGCTGCTCCTTCGGAGCCCGGAGCCGTCCCCAGCACCTCCCCTGCAAGGCCAGGGGGCTGGAGGATGCTCCCAGGGACGTGCTGCCAGGGCAGCAGTGCCCTCTGGGTCTGTGAGGAGAAAGCCTCTTATTTGAAGGGCTTTGGTGGCTTTTTCTCGTGGGCAGGAGTCCAAGCTCCAGTTCCCAGGGCGGAGGTAAATGCAAAGCTCAGCAGTGGCACTGA